ATGCTTGTGAGAAGGCAAAATTTAAATGTATCTACAACAAGAATGGTATGGGTGAGCTGTTAGATCATATTTATATTTTATTTATTATTTATTTTATAAAAAAATAGATATTTATATCATAGTTATTAAGTTTCAAATATTCATTATCTAAGTGTTATCTATTATTCAATATAAAATAAAAAAGCAATGTGTGTATCAAATGATGAAACTATAAACATTGTATGTGTGTGTTATATATAATATTGAAGTATGTCTATAAATATAAATATCCTGTGATATAAATTTATATATTTTCATGGTAGGATTTGATAATATTTATATATTATTTATTATTCTGTAAGATAAAATAACTACTTAAAAAATATTCACTCGTTCAAGTTGCTTGGAATAAGTACTCACAAGTTAAGTTTTCATCTGTAGATATAAAAAAGTTAAGCCAAAGAGACAATTGTTAAACAACTCCACTAAGCATGATTAAGCAGAGCAAAACATCACCATTATTGTAAGCATAATATGGTCATTTCGGAATTGCATTATGTATAGTTGTCTGACCTGGTTTAGAGATTAATTTGGAAAAAATTTTGAGTACTAGTTCATCGTAAATTAATTTTTTTATTAAAATAGCAGTTTTTTTTAGTTATATATCTAGATGAATTTGATTATGCTAAATGGAATATTAAAAATCTATGAGATAAATTGGAACTATCAAGATTAATATTTAATCTAGTTTAATTAAAAACTTAGCTTAAATTAAATTTTAAATTTCAAGTTTTTATGATCAACTTGTCAAAGAATCAACCCAAAAATTTAAGTTATTAGATGATGTTTCAAAATATAATTTATATTATTCTCTAATACATACCCACAAGTGAAAGCCCTTTGAACTTGAAACTTGCATATATTTATTTTATCTTATATTTAATTTTTATTAAATAAATAAGGATAATGAGATTCGAACTCGTGACCACTTGATCATCAAAACTCTGATACCATATCAAAAAACTATCTCAACCTAACAGTTTAAGCTATTAGATAAGATTTCAAGATATAATTTATATTATTCTCAAATATAATTTATTAAATTTGATCTGATTTTAATAATTATATTATTAAATACTCTATTTATTTCATCGTATCAATGTCATTCCAAACTAGGGGTTATTGTTGTTTATGGATTTAAGATTTATGAGTTTTTTTTTTATAATCATAACTTTTCTTTTATTTTGTTTTGTTTTGTTTGGTCTAGGAATCCCAATGTTTGTATTATAACAATAGCGAATTACTTAGTGTTTTATCATGAATTGCATTGTTCAATTCATAATGAAACACTCAGCTATCTTCTTCTTTTTCTTTTTTTTTCAAAACATGTTTTTTTTTTGTTTTAAAAAAATGATATGG